GGGAGGGAGGGGGGGGGTGAGTACACTGGCACGGGGGGCAGTTGGGGGTGATCAAGCTGGCAGGGGGCATTTGGGGGTGAGCAGGCCAGCAGGCAGAGTGGTTAGGGGCAATCAGGCAGGCAGGCAGGCAGGTGAGTGTTTAGGAGCCAGCAGTCCTAGATTGTGAGAGTGATATCTGACTGCCAGTTTAGGTCCAATCCCTATAAACCATGTAGGACATCCTTCGAAGGGTCCCAGATTGGAGAGGGTGCAGGCTGGGCTAAGGGACACCCCCCCCCGGGCACGAATTTCATGCACCAGGCCACTAGTGTGTGTGTGTGTGTGTGTGTGTGTGTGTGTGTGTATATATATAATTGGTTCATAGTATATATACTGTTTTATATTATACTAGAGGCCCAATGCAATTCATGCAAGAGTAGGCCTTCCTTCCCCCAGCTGCAGGCACTGGCTTCCTCTGGCACCCGGGACCCAGGCTTCCCTCTGGCACCCGGAACCTGGTCTTGCCTCTGGTACCGGGGACCCGGGCTTCCCTCCAGCTGCTGGCAGGCACCCGGGACCCAGGCTTAATTCACAGCCCTGGCTTTGTCTGAAAGGACATCTGGTCTAATTAGCATATTATGCTTTTACTATGGGCCCAGTGCATGAATTCGTGCACCTTGAAAGAAACTGTGGGCCACAAAACTGTGGTAGGTACAGGGGCGGGTCTCAACCCATCCTCTGTGCCCCTGCCTGGCCCCTTTCACCACGTTCCCGGTCCCCTGTCTGCTGGCAGCCCTACTCCCACCGCCGCTCCCATGTGCTGACAGCGCTAGCCCCACTTGCACCCGCTGATGGTGTAGAGCGATTGGGCCAGTGCCAGCAGAAGATGTGAGCAGAGCCAGCGTGGTCAGCGAGTGCAAGTGGGGGCTGCTGCTCCAATAGCCCCTCGGGAGCAGGGGGAGGTAGAGAAGCCCTCAGGGGCAATCAGGGCTTGTAGCCGCTGCTCGCACCCGCTGATGGCACCGAGTGATTGGGACCAGCACCAGGCACCGGCAGCAGGTACAAGCAGGGCTGGCACTGGCAGCAGGTGCGAGCACCTGGCGGGACTGTGGCACACAGGAGGAAAGAATTTTCAATAATCACCAGAGGCTTGCCCCTATGACAAAGACCGACATTCCACCTTGGTCTGGAGCCCCTGCTCACCTGCTCCACTATCCTGCCACAGCCAACATCCACCATGTTCCGCACATGCCCCCTGATGGTCAGCATACATCATAGCAACTGGTTGTTCGGTTGTTCCGTCGTTTGGTCTATTTGTATATTAGCCTTTTATTATTATAGACTAGAGGCCCGGTGCATGGATTTGTGCACCGGTGGGGTCTCTCAGCCTGGCCTGTGCCCTCTCACAATCCGAGACCCCTCAGGGGATGTTGGAGAGCTGGTTTCGGCCCGATCCCCGCAGGCGAGGCCAAGGGACCCCATCGGTGCATGAATCCGGGCCTCTAGTATGCATATAAGATCTTTGGTTAATCTCTTCCTGCCCTCTCCCCTTCCCTTTTCCCTCTGAGATTCATCAGTCTGTTCCATGTTTCCATGCCTGTGTGTTGAGCGTCTGCCCCCTGGTGGTCATTGCGCGTCACAGGGTCAGCTGGTCGCTTAGGCTTTTATATATATAGATTTATCATATCCTAAATGATGACATTTAAAGCATTTCTGTTAAGCTTTCATTGTACTTTGTCTCTAATTGTTCAACTTTCATAATAAATGCTTCATTGACTATCTTGTGGAGAAATCTTGGTTTATAGCCATGATTACTTACTTAAAATATCATATTTCTTATAACCTAAGTTTTATAATGTCTAGGGAATTCTCCTGGGGTCTAAATTTGACTCAAATATTCCACTAAAATTATTAAATACAATATGGGTTGCTACACAACAGCAAGAAGCTCCTAATTTTTCTAATTAACTCACATAAAAATGTCCATTAGTCATGGATATTCCTAATGTAAAATAACCATATCCACTTGAAAAGTTATCAAGAAAATAATTCATCTTCACATTAGAAATTTTTTCTTTTATACTTAAAGTGCTCTGGGAGGGAATAAAAACTTTAAATCAATTACTGTGACTGATCATGATTATTAGTTAATGAAAAAACTAGTTTTGGAAAATTTCTCCATTTACTTAAAATACTAACTAAAAAGAAAATCTAATTATAATCTAAAAAATAATAATTTCTGTCTTCCTACCTCCTTTATCTTCTGAAAAAAATCATTTTTGTCAGTAATAGTTTTCTCTCCCAGTTTTTTCTTGCTGTTCTTTAAAAAAAATCTATGAACAAAGGAAGCCAAACAAATTCATATTAAGACATATTTTTTTCAGCAGAGCCATATTGCCCTATATAACATATTTATATATTCATTATAACAGACAAAAGATTTTACTTTTTAGAATTGACGAATTAATGCTTTATTATTCTATTCAATCATTTAAGAAGCAATGGCAAATGGGATTGTTGTTTTTATTTTCTCTCTCTGAGAATTCATTATTGGTATATAAAAATGCCATTGATTTCTGGGTGTTAATATTGTATCCTGAGTGTAGCAAGATTTTTAATCATAACTCCTAGAAATAATTTAAGAACTAATCTGTATCTTCCACTATGATTCTCTGCCTACTTTTTCTTTAAAACATATATGAACTAAAACTATTAAACTTTCAAAGAAAAAGATTTTTTATTCTGAGTTTGAATTGTAGTAATTCTTGAGTCTTCCTATGTTAAATATGTTACTGAGTACAAAGATTAGTGCCTACTTTATGGACCAGTGTGATGATTACTATACTGGGCAATTGCTGTTTTAAAAGACTTAATTTTAATCACAATACATTCAAATCTGTGTATGTAGAAATGAGCCATTTTATAACATGATTCCACATGTGAAGTTAACTTGTCTTATGGAATCTGCTCAGTTCACAATTTGTCTTTTAAATCGAACTCTGGAGGTAGGCCCAGAAGCCATATATTTGTATTACAAGACCTCACCTTCTGGTCCAAAGCTAAGCCAAACAGTTTTTGTTGCTGTTAATCCTCACCTGAGGGTATTTTTTCTATTGATTTTTAGAGAGAGTGAAAGGGAGGGAGAGGGAGTGAGAGGGAGTGAGTGAGAGAGAGAGAGAGAGAGAGAGAGAGAAATGTGAGAGACACATAGATTGGTTGCCCCCTGCACATGCCCCAACCTGGACTGGGGACCAAATCTGCAACCCAGGTACGTGCCCTTGACAGGGAATCGAACCCTCAACCCTTCAGTGCTCAGGCCAATGCTCTAACCCAGTGGTCGGCAAACTCATTAGTCAACAGAGCCAAATATCAACAGTACTTCTTCAAAATAGACTCGCCCAGGCCGAAAATCGACTTCTGCGCATGGGCCAGGAAGTTTCAATCGCACTGTACGTGCGCGCCCACACGTGGTATTTTGTGGAAGAGCCACACTCAAGGGGCCAAAGAGCCGCATGTAGCTCGCGAGCCGCAGTTTGCCGACCACGACTCTAACCACTTAGCAACACTGGCCAGGGCTGAGCCAAACGGCTTTTGATGGGAAATCTGCGAATTCTCCTGGAAGAGAGTCTGTTGCCAATCTCTAACGATGAATGGGCCTGTGCCAGGTAATTTCAGAGGGTTTGGAATGGTCATGCTTAGCCATGGCTCACCAGGAAGAGAACATAGTATGCAGATAGAGAGAAAGATGAAACCCTTTTGCAAAAGGAAGAGAGAGTGTGGGCCTTGGGATGAAAGATTCCCTTAAGTTTCTGGTTCCAGTCCCATGGGTAAAAGTTTTTACCCAGAGGCGTCCCTGTAATTTCTCAATAAACTCTGCAAATCTCCCTCGACTAAGAACAGCCACTGTAACCATATGGGTAGGGGAGTGGGTAGCCTTGCGGCAGGCCTCATGAATGCCTTCCTGGGGGCATATTCATTTGCAGGAATCCCGGAATGGAAGTGAGAATAATACATTCCACCGAGTCCCTTCCTTTTTCTGAGCTGACTGCATCATCCCCAATACTTTCTCTTGATCACGGGAAAGACTGATTAATTTCAAAATGAAGAGGTGTTTCTATACAACTTGCAAGCACACAAATTTTAGTAAACTAAAAGATTATAATTTTCATCTAATGAAATTTTTTAAAGGAAAGAAACATAACACTGAGAAATGCTTCAGTAAAAATAAAGTATCATACTTACATTTCTTCCTCCAGGCTATTACAGATTTTCTTTATTTCTTCTATCTGTTCTTCCCAATGTCTTATTGATTGATTTAGTTCTGCTATCTCTAAATTGTGATCACTAAGTTCCTATTGAAAATTTTAAAAAATTATGGCATTCAGTCATTGTCAAATGATTCAGGATGGTGGTTCAATTCACTAAATATTCATGTGTCACCCACTCAACTTCTGCACTGGGGGTGTCCTTTAGTTAAAATAAAAGCAATCATTACAATTGTTTCCTCAAAATATAAACTAGGGCAGAAATAAAAAATAATATTTGGGGGCGGGGGAAAGCAACCAAATATAGTAGTGAGGATGTGACAACTATAAAAACAACTTTCAAGACATGAATTCACCTTGACTATCATTTTAAAAAATAAACAAATCTATATTTTCATAATCATCTCCAAAACGTTATTCCAGGAGAGAAGAATGATATTATAAACAGGTCTAAACAAATTGGGTCTTTCACCTCAACTGATAGTTATGTTCATGCTGAAGAAAAATTTTTCTCTTAATATTTAATTAGAAGTTTGAAAATAAAACCGGTGAAGACTGTGAAAAAATGTTAGCCTAATTTTAAAAAGGAAATATGGATGAAGAAAATTCACAGTCAGACAGCTATGTTGACTATGCAGTTTGGGAATAAAGAAAAGGGAAGGCAAATGTATCAGAGCCCTGGGCCTGCGTTTCGGCTTGTGAGGGAGAATGGAGCTGGTCAGATCCCTCCGCTCTGCAGCACAGGTGCCAGGGCAGATTATCGAATGCCATCTAAGCCTGCACGCCAACGTGGGGTCATGGACACACCTGGGCAGCGTAAAGGTGCTCTCCATCATGCCACGTGAGACAGGTGACAGCTCCCCAGAACTCTTTCTTTCTCTAAAGAAGTGGTTCTCAATCTTCCTAATGCCGCGACCCTTTAATACAGTTCCTCATGTTGTGGTGACCCCCAACCATAAAATTATTTTTGTTGCTCCTTCATAACTGTAATTTTGCTACTGTTATGAATCGTAATGGAAATATCTGATATGCAGGATGTATTTTTATTGTTACAAATTGAACATAATTAAAGCATAGTGATTAATCACAAAAACAATATGTAATTATATATGTGTTTTCCGATGGTCTTAAGCGACCCCTATGAAAGGGTCGTTCGACCCCCAAAGGGGTTGCGACCCACAGGTTGGCGACCCAAAGGTTGAGAACCGCTGCAAGCATCCTTGTGACTGAACTTCTGGGCTATAACTAATTCCAGAGTAACAGGGTCTGAAATCCTAGAACTGCCACCAACAATCAGCAGAACGTCTAAAGGACTCCAGCTGGCCATCAGGATTAGTGACTAAATGTCAAGGCCATCAGGAATGACACTGGTCATCTCTTGTCCCCAGTTCTCCCTGCCCGGGATATGTAGGCCATCTTGAGGACCACGCACCATTATTCTTTTCTGCCAACATGGCATCAGCTTGACCTGGGTGCAGAGTTTTCTAAACTAAAGGTACCACAGGAAGATTAATCTGATATCTCCTACTGTCTCAGTCCACAGCCAAAATGTTGTTTTCTAATCTTGAGCAATAACAACAAACTTCACCAATGTCTGATCTCCACAGAAGCCCTTCGAAGAAGGCAATGGTATTACCCCACTTTACATTTTTCATTTCTATAGATTTCAAAGAGGAAGGGAGAGGGAGAGACAGACAGAAACATCCATGATGAGAATCATTGATCGACTGCCTCCTGCACGCTCCCTATTGGGAATCGAGCCCGCAGACCGAGCATGTGCCCTTGACCGGAATCAAACCCGGGTTCCCTCAGTCCACAGGCTCTATCCACTGAGCCAAACCAGCTAACACTTACCCTATTTTATAGGTGAAAAAACTCTGGGCTGGTAGAGTCAAGGTTTGAACCTAGGTCTCTTTGACACTCAACTTTGTGCTTTAAACACTATTCTCCACCAGTAAGGTAGGGCGGGGCAGGCAGGCTATGATGGGGCGAGAGGGAAAATGACACTTTCAAGCCTTGTCTCATTTGGCCTTAGAGGTCTTTGGAGTACAGGTTAAGGAGCATGTGCTTCATTTTCCCAAGTTAGAACTTGGAGGGCACTTGGCTTAGATCTATGAGGTCCAAACGAGAGGTGTGTACTTGGGGGGCATGCAGATCAAATGTGTTTTATGCAATCCCTACTTTCTCCTTTGAGTCTAGCCTGACTCACGCTTCCTTACTATGTTGATATTTAAAAAACAGGTAATGATATTCTTAAATATATGGGGGGGGGGAATTTTGACTTGACCCATGTTTTGTAATTGGATGTCATAACCGATATAATAAAACTAAAATGATCAGGAACACCATATAAAAAATAAAATGGAATTGGCTGAGCATTCTGGTAAGAAGTGTGATGTTTCAGTATTACTGTTGCCCATATACAGTTTTACATGTATTTTTCAATGCAGATAGAAGAAATGAAGACTCGATTCAACTAACTGTGATAGATTACCATTCATTTCTGTTTTAATTAACATAGAAGTGGTATTATCATTAACGTTTTCAATTATAGTCACCTCCATAAGGTCCAGTTTTCTAATTTTTAAAACAATGATGATCCCCACAAAATACTTAACATAGTACTGGCTTTCATTCAATGTTATTAATATTTTTTAAAATAGAACTGCAGAGTTCTCAAGTATTTGCTAACTTGAAAAAACAGATAGTCCCCTTTCCCTATTATGTTCCTGTACCCAATATAAATGGAGAGACTAAATTCTGTTTTATCATCACATACCCAGAATTAAGGAATTTGCCCCTGGTTATTTCTTTTGTTACGTAAAATAAAGCAATATCATAAAAATGTTATATATGGTATTGTATGCATTTTAAAAAAATCAGTTTTACAGTATTTTGGTCCATCCAAATGCAATCTGTACCTAAGGTGTGCCAAACTTCTTTCTTCCCACCATATTCCTGAAGAAGAAAACACAATTGCAATACAACACACTAAAGTATCAGGAAATGTTAACATGACAAAAATATTCTTCCAGAACGTAAATTAAAATCAATTCCTTTTTAAAACACCTGTTACCAGTCATATTAAAGGTAGTGTATATTGAGGTGCCTGGGTCAGGCTTGAAAAGCATAGTTTATCCTTTCTTACCACTGTGCTGGTAGTAACTTTTTCTTTTATGTCCATCTCTTTAATCCTTAATCTATCCAATTGTTTCTTCCTATGATAAGCATCCTGTTTCTTAGATTCACAGATATTTTCATATTCATTCATCTGTAGTGATAAACACAAACCAATGAAAAAGTTTATGAGGGCAACAACGTTTAGAAACTCCTTTTTTAAATTTTATCAATCTAATTTATATTCAATCTAAGTATATAATATTCAATCTAAATATATCAACAATAAATAATAACCAGCCCTGGCTGATGGCTCAGTTGGTTGGAGCATTGTTCTGAACACCTAAAGGTGGCGGGTTTCATTCCAGGTCAGAGCACATATCCAGGATGCAGGTTCGATACCCAGTAGGGGGCACATGTGGGAGGCAACCAATTGATGTTTCTCTCTCACATGGATGTTTGGATGTTTCCTTCTCTCCCTCCCTTTCTCTAAGATAATAAAGAAAATAAATTAACAGCTCCAAGTCTGTTCCCCGCAGATCCAGGGGGAAGGGACTACCAGTGGTTCTCAACCTTCTGGCCCTTTAAATACATTTCCTCGTGTTGTGACCCAACCATAAAATGATTTTCGTTGCTACTTCATAACTGTAATGTTGCTACTGTTATGAATCGTAATCCTGAGAGCGGGAGGGACTAGTCCAGCCGTGGGCAAACTACGGCCCGCGGGCTGGATACGGCCCGTTTGAAATGGATAAAACTAAAAAAAAAAAAAAAAAACCCGTACCCTTTTATGTAATGATGTTTACTTTGAATTTATATTAGTTCACACAAACACTCCATCCATGCTTTTGTTCCGGCCCTCCGGTCCAGTTTAAGAACCCATTGTGGCCCTCGAGTCAAAAAGTTTGCCCACCCCTGATCTAGGTGGTCTAGGGAGGGTGATTGCCTATCAGTCACACCTGGGAGCAGGTCACTGGCCAGAATAGATGTAGCTACTGCAAGGGCACAAAACCTGAGACACATATGCTCCTGAACAAAGGAAGCTCTTGCTCTCTGGGACTCTTGTTGCAGGGGGCGTGCCCTCACCCTCTGCACTTGCCCACACGGCCCGCAGACATGTGGGCTCCACACAGGACGGACTGATGGACTGGAATTAGCCTAATACTGTGCTGGACCTAACTCCACCAGGGAACAATATAAAAAATACAAAGTAATACAAAAAGTTCAATGAAACCGAGAGCTGGTTCTTTTAAAAGATAAACAAGATAGATGAACCTTTAGCTGGACTAATCAAGAAACACAGAGAGAGAACCCGAATAGATAAAATCAGAAATGAAAGGGGTAAAGTAACAACGGACACCACAGAAATGGGATTATAAGAAAATACTGCAAACAACTATATGCCAACAAACCAGACAACCTGGGTGAAATAAACAAATTCCTAGAAACATACAATCTTCCAAAACTGAATCAGGAAGAAGACAAAAACCTAAATAGGCCTGGTAACAACTGATGAAACGGAAGCAGTAAAAAACAAAAAACAAAAAAACTCAGCAAGCAAAGCCCAGGTCTGGATGGCTTCACAGGGGAGTTTTACCAAACATTCAAAGAAGAACTAACACCTCTCCTCCTTAAATTATTTCAAAAAATTCAAGAAGAAGGAAGACTTCAAGGCTCTTTTTTGAGGCCAGTATTATCCTAATCCCAAAACCAGATAAGGCCACAACAAAGAAAGAGAATTATAGGCCAATAACCCTGATAAACATAAATGCTAAAATCCTCAACAAAATACTAGCAAATCAGAACAGCAATATATTAAAAAGATCATACACCATGACCAAGTGGGATTTATTCCAGGGATACAAGACCGGTACAATATTTGCAAATCAATAAATGTGATACATCACATAAACAAATTGAAAAATCACATGATCATATCAATAGATACAGAAAAAGCATTCGACAAAATCCAACAACCCATTTTAAAAAATATATTTTTATTGATTTCAGAGAGGAAGGCAGAGGGAGAGAGAGATAGAAACATCAATGATGAGAAAGTATCATGGACTGGCTGCCTCCTACATACCGCACACTGGGAATCCAGCCCACAACCCAGGCATGTGCCCTGACTGGGAATTGAACCATGACCTCCTGGTTCATAAGTTGACACTCAACTACTGAGCCACACTGGCTGGGCCAACACTCATTTTTGATAAAAACTCTAAGCAAAGTGGAGAGGGACCATACCTCAACATAATAAAGGCCATCTATGACAAACCTACAGGCAAATCATACTTAATAGGCAGAAACTAAAACCATTTCCCCTAAGAACAAGAACAAAACAGGGTTGTCCGCTAGTATTTTATTCAATACTAGAGGCCCGGTGCATGAAATTAGTGCACAGGGGAGGAGGGGTCCCTCAGCCCAGCCTGCACCCTCTCGCAATCTGGGACCCCCTCAGGGGGATGTCCAACTGCTAGTTTAGGCTCAAGCCGGATTGAGCCTAACCAGCAGTTGGACATCCCTCTCATAATCTGGGACCGCTAGCTCCTAACTGCTCACCAGCCTGCCTGCCTGGTTGCCCCTAATCACTCTGTCTGCCTGCCTGATCGCCCCTAACCCCTCTGCCTGACTGCCTGTTCGCCCCTAACCACTCTGCAAGCCTGCCTGATGTCCCTAACTGCTCGCCAGCCTGCTTGATGCCCATACTTAAGAATAAACTCAAAATGCATAAAAGACTTCAATGTAAGTTGGAAAACCATAAAAATCTTAGAAGAAATCATAGGCAGCAAAATCTTAGACATCTCCCGTAGCAATATCTGTGCTGATACATCTCCTAGGGCAGTGGTTGGCAAACTCATTAGTCAACAGAGCCAAATATCAATAGTACTTCTTCAAAATAGACTCGCCCAGGCCGAAAACCGACTTCTGCGCATGGGCCAGGAAGTTTCAATCGCACTGTACGTGCACCCGCACATGGTATTTTGTGGAAGAGCCACACTCAAGGGGCCAAAGAGCCGTATGTGGCTCGCGAGCCACAGTTTGCTGACCACGGGCCTAGGCCAACTGAATCCACTGGGGTGGCTTCCTGAGAAGCCAGCCACCGCAAAGCTTTTCCTGGGCTCCGTGGCAGGAGTGTAGTGATCAGTTAGTGATGTCCGCCTGGGAATGGGTGTGGAGAGCTTTGGAGTTCCTGGCTTCAAGTCTGAAGTCTAGATGTAGGTAAAAGGTTTCTTTTACACCAGAGGACGTATCTTGGGAAACTCTGATCATCTTAGTTGGGGGCCTTGTCTATTTCTGTCTCCCAGGCTGCACTGGAGTTTAGCAGTGCAGCTTTCTTTGTAGTGTTAGCAAGAAAACCTCATGTTCCCTGCCATTTTAGATAAAATATAATGGACAGAAATTTCAAAGGACATTGGGAACGCCAGCAATTTAGTGTTCTTCATGAGGAAAATCCCCTCCACCTTGGTTCTATTATGTCAGTGGCCAACTTCTTTCCTCCTGCCAACTCTGGAGTCCAGGTTACTTCTGTTTTTAATTCCTTCTTTCCTTTAAAATAAAATTCATTTTTGGTCTGATAAGAAAAGGAATATATCTTCATGATAGAAAATCAGTAAAATACTAAGCAAAAAGGCATAAGGCATTAAATTAAAATCATCTGAAATCCCACCTCCCAGAAATAATTCATCTTTAACACTACTATAGCCTTCCAGACCGCTCCCCCCACCCAGCCCCTTTCAGGCACACATTTCTCTCCTGGGGTTTGGGCGCTGCCCCCTGTCATGCTGATCCCGGTGCCGGGAGGCCTCACGGCTCCGCTGATCCCGGTGCTGGGAGGCATATTACCCTTTTACTATATAGGATGGAGGCCTGGTGCATGGGTAGGGGCTGGCTGGTTTGCCCTGAAGGGTGTCCTGGATCAGGGTGGGGGTTCCCACTGGGGTGCCTGGCCAGCCTGGGTGAGGGGCTGAGGGCTGTTTTCAGGCTGGTGGGTGACTGAAGCTCCCAACCGCTCCTTTTTTTCTTTTTCTTTTTTATTCTGGGCCAAGGCCTCTGCTGCTGAAAGCAGGTATCTGGTTTGTTTCAGTTCTATAATCGAAACACTGTATCATCTCCAGCTCTGAGATCCCGGCTGGCTGAAAGCTGGTTTCTGGGGTTTTGTTTAGCTTCTATATTTGTGACAATGTTTCAAACTGCCAGCTCAGAGGCCAGCAAGGCAGGCGGGGAACGTTAGAGTCCTCCTTCACTGAAGCAAGCAAGGCTCATGTTCGCTTCCAGCTGCCTGGCTGCCGGCCGCCATCTTGGCTGGCAGTTAATTTGCATATCGCCCTGATTAGCCAATGGAAGGGTAGCAGTCGTACGCTAATTACCATGTTTCTCTTTTATTAGATAGGATAGTATTGGAAGTCCTAGCCACATCAATCAGACAAGAAGAAAAAACAAAAGGCATCCAAATTGAAAAAAGGATATAAAACTGTCACTAGTCATAGATGACATGATACTGTACAGAGAAAACCCTAAAGACTCCACCAAAAAACTACTAGATGTAATAAATGAATTTGGCAAAGTAGCAGAATACAAATTTAACATCCAGAAATTGATGGTATTCTTATAGACCAATAATGAACTCTCAGAAAGAGAAACTAAAAAAAAAAAAATCTCATTTACCATTGCAACAAAAATATACACCTTGGAATAAATTTAACCATAGAGGCAAAAGACCTGTATTCCGAAAACTATAGGACATTAAAAAAAAGAAATAGAGGAAGATACAAACATAGGAAGAATATACCGTGTTTATGGATTGGAAGAATGAGCATCATCAAAATGTCTACACTACCCAAAGTAATCTATAGATTCAATGCAGTTCCTGTTAAAATACCAATGTTATATTTGTTCGCCCCTAACCCCTCTGCAAGCCTGCCTGATGTCCCTAACTGCTCGCCAGCCTGCTTGATGCCCATACTTAAGAATAAACTCAAAATGCATAAAAGACTTCAATGTAAGTTGATCTTGAGAAAGAAGAACAAAATTGGAGGGATCACAACACCAGATATAAAATTATACTACAAAGCTGTTGTAAACAAAACAGCCTGGTACTGGCACAGAACAGGCATATAGATCAGTGGAACAGAACAGAGAACCCAGAAATCGACTCAAGCCATTACGCTCAATCAGTATTTGAGAAAGGAGGCAAGGGAATACAATAGAGTAAAGACAGTCTCTTCAACAAATGATGTTGGGAAAATTGAACAGGTACATGCAAAAAAATGAAATTAGACCTTCAACTTAGACCATACATAAGAATAAACTCAAAATGCATAAAATACTTCAATGTAAGTCGGAAAACCATAAAAATCTTAGAAGAAATCATAGGCAGCAAAATCTCAGACATCTCCCGTAGCAATATCTGTGCTGATACATCTCCTAGGGCAGTGGTTGGCAAACTCATTAGTCAACAGAGCCAAATATCAATAGTACTTCTTCAAAATAGACTCGCCCAGGCCGAAAACCGACTTCTGCGCATGGGCCAGGAAGTTTCAATCGCACTGTACGTGCACCCGTATGTGGTATTTTGTGGAAGAGCCACACTCAAGGGGCCAAAGAGCCGTATGTGGCTCGTGAGCCACAGTTTGCCGACCATGGTCCTAGGGCAAAAAAAACAAAGGAGATAAACAGATGTTTAAAAATAAAAAGCTTCTACACAGCAAAAGAACCCTGCAACAAAATGAAAAGGGAGCCCACTGCATGGGAGAATATATTTGCCAATGATACATCTGATAAGGCGTTAATTTTCAACATATATAAAGAACTCATACAACTTAACAAAAGGAATGAAGAGATGCAAATTAAAATGACAATGAGGTACTATCTCACACCTGTCAGAATGGCTACCATCAACAAATCAACAAACAAGTACTGGCGAGGATGTGGAGAAAAGGGAACCCTTGTACACTGTTGATGGGAATGCAGACTGGTGCAGCCACCAAAGAAAACAGTATGGAGTTTCCTCAAAAAATTAAAAATGGAACTGCCATTTGACCCTGTAATCACACATCTAGGAATATGATCTAAGAAGCCTGAAACACCAATCAGAAAGAATACATGCACCCCTATGTGCATAGCAGTGCTATTTATAATAGGTAAGATCTGGAAACAGCAGCCCGAGTGCCCATCCGTAGATGAGTGGATAAAAACAGTCCCAGACACTGTTCTGCATGTGGTACATTTACACCATGGAACACTACACTATGCAGCTGTGAAAAAGGATTTCCTACCCTTTGAGACAGCCAAACAAAGTAAGCCAGTCAGAGAAAGAAAAGTATCATATGATCTCCCTTATATTTGGAATCTAACAAACAAAATAAACTCATGAACCAGAGTTTAAATAGAGCCAGAGACATAGAAGCATGGAACCAATGTCCATGCATAACTCATGGACACAGACAATCGTGCAGTTACGGGGGGAGGGGGGGCGTTTGGGGGAAGAAAAGGGATATCTGTAATACTTTCAACATTTTTTAAAAAGATGAAGGATGGAGGAGAGGATGATGAGCCACTGAATTCATGAGTCTTGGATACTGTTCTGCATTGGTAATTCCTACTGCGTGAGATAACAAATGCCCTTACTGTCTAAGCCAGCTGGAATCAGGGCTTCTGCCGTTTGCATCTGAAAGCGCCCTAACTGGTGCCATTTTCCAGGGAGATCACCACGGGTAAACAAACTCCTACCCGTGGTTCAAATCCAGCCACCACCTGTTTTTGTAAGCTGCTCTCATACATTCATACATTTAAGTGTTGTTTGTGGCTACTTTCGTGCTAAGATGGCATCCTTGTTTGTGGCAGAGACTGTATGGCCCACAAAGCCCTAAACATTTACCATCTGACCCTTTTAGAAAATGTTTGTAGACCCCGAGACAGGCTATTCACATAAGGAAGAACCTGCCATGTTTGCAAATTTCCATGTTTTGAGCTCCTTTGTGTCTCCTTTTTGCATTTTAACATTTACATTAAAGAATAGGGGGGGGGGCGATTTCCCCGTAGGGTGTAAAATGAAGTCAGAAACCCGTTCATTCAGTGGAGTCACATGACACAGTGTCTCCATGTGCGAGGCACGCCAGGCTCTGTTGGTAGTGCTGGGGTACAGCAGGAAGGACACGGACAGAATCCCAGTCCTGGAGCCTTCTGATGGACAAAGCGCTCATCTGCATATCCGATGCCACCGCTGCAGGACCAATGAAGTCCCCGGGGAAGTGAAGAGAAGGAGCAGGGCTCCCCCACTTCTCACCCCCCTCCCAGCTGTGCCCACACAGACACACCCCACTTTTGGCTCCTGTGACTTAAGTGAGCCGCTCCACTTTGGGGTCTGGGGTGCTCAGAGAGAGGAAGAGGACTGGGAACAGCGGGGTGACCGAGAGCTGCTCAGCATCCTTGTCAATATGGCACGAAAACAGTAAAATGCCTTTTGGTTCTTGTTGTCCTGAAATTCCCATTTCCTTGTGACAGTGATCACCAAGTGAGTTCTTGCCCAGGGACAGGAGCCCCTCACTGTTTTTGAGACGTGGATGTTGGCTGACTCCAGCACTGCGGGTCAGGCGAGCAGGGGCTTCAGCCCCGCTAAGGTCCTGGGAGCTGGGCTTTCACAAATTCAGTTTAGTGGCTGCAAAGGGCCCAAGGGACTTCTTGCCAGCTCCTTCACCAAGAGCCCGTTCCCAGGATGACTAAGCCTGAGCTATCGATATTCAAAAAGGACGATCCATGGTTTTAATGTAAAACTATTCCTGAAAGACACAGTGTTACCGCCGTTAGCTACTTACTGATGGGAACAGAAGCCAAGGAAGTCAGAAACTGTTGAGCGTATTCGGCTGGGAAGCAGGGGCCCGTTTGCCCCACCAGGAAGCTACGGCTTCACACCCCAAGAAATCGCAGCATTGTCCCTCCAAGGGCATCAACACCCTTCTCTTCCCCACTCCAGGACCCGATTGTGTGTGGAGCAGGGGGAGATACGGGCATGCTCAGTAAAGTCAAAATGGTGCAGAGGAGGTGCCTGACCCCAGAGGCCTGTCAGTCTAACCGGGGAAAGCCATTGTCGGGCCCAGCAGAAACCCTTGAAACCTTGGGAAGCTAATTGGTTATTTTGAACAAGCTCCTGGTTATAATCCCAGGAGACAAAGATCTCTCTCTCTCTCTCTCTCTCTCTCCCTCTCTGTCAGATTGATTCAGCAGGTGCAGCAGGCTTGGGCAGGGCTGAACTTCCTAGTCCTGCCATAGAAACACGGCCTCAGAATGGCCAAAGGCAACCAGATGACATGGAGGCAAATTCCTGGTTCCTATAGGGCTGCAGATGAGCCAGGGGCCACCCCAGTGATACAAATCCTGTCACTCATATTCTTTCTCATGAACTGAAATGCTGCTATACAATTAACTATCTTCCCCAAGGGGCTCCCCTAAGATTCCCACCTGCAAACGAGATTAAAAACCCCAAGACAAAGGGCCAGTGCATGCGCTCTCCCGCTGGGGAACATGTCCACACCTTCCCCTTCCCCGTCCTCTCTCCCACAGGCATGCATCTCCTAAACTCTAAGGATCTCTACTCTATTTCCCATCCCAGTGTTCACAGAGGACAGCACAGGAGCGCTAGCTAGCCTTGAGGACAAATAAATTATTCCCCATTTCGTGCTTGAGATTCTGGATAATTCTGTACTATAAAAAATAAATCATGCCACTTACCTGGCCACTCAACCTTTTTTTTGCCTTCAAATATTCTCCTTTGTCTCTGACTATTATCGCCTCTTTACCTTGAATACTTTTCCTTTTCAGTCTTATTTCTTCTCTCTCCAAGTTTATTTTTGTATAAGTCTCATTGATGTAAATAGTGGCGACGGCTTTTTTTCCCATCGCGTGGTTGAGTAACACAACAAGCTTTTCATGCTTCTTCGCCAGCTCCTTTTGCTGTTCACTAGGAGAGAAAAAAAACATTCATGGCATGAAAAGTATGGCTTTTGGGAAAGGAACTTAAAGTCTATTTGGTGAAATCAACCACCATACAGGGAGAAATTGTAAGGCATACTGATTTTAGAACTGTATTTGTAATCGCCTAAACTTGGTTGAGATGAGGGCAGATGGATAACACAAGTGTTAACCTTGTAACTATTTACCAAGTAAAAATATCACGTGGTCCTGCCTCACCACGCCCATCCCCACAGAGCAGGTAGTGTCTATGGCAGCCGTGGGCAAACTATGGCCCGCGGGCCGGATCCGGCCCGTTTGAAATGAATAAAACTAAAAAAAAAAAAAGACCGTACCCTTTTATGTAATGATGTTTACTTTGAATTTATATTAGTTCACACAAACACTCCATCCATGCTTTTGTTCCGTCCCTCCGGTCCAGTTTAAGAACCCATTATGGCCCTCGAGGCAAAAAGTTTGCCCACCCCTGGTCTATGGGATGTTTTGGGTTAAAATATGCAATGACTCAAAAAACAGTTTGGAGCAAGTAAATAAAACCTGGCCAGACAAATGGTTTGCTATGTAGCACTGCTGTTATGTACCTTATCATCCTGAGATCTGTAGTTAAATCAAAGAAATATATACATCCTGCCACCCCACCGGCCACCTTCTGATGCCAGGGAGGACCCAGGAGAAAGCTCGCCTCCCTCCGATGGACAGGAGTTAGGCGAGGAGAGGGTCCATCTTCATTGTTCAGGGGATGCTTGAAACCTAATGTGAACCCTCTTATCTCCCACCGTCTGCAGCCAAATCTGAGTTCAAAAGTAGACAATACTTTCACATGCCAGTTGGTCACATTCACTGGAGGAAGACCTTGAGGCTGCTAGAAACATCTACGCCAGGGCTAACCATAAAAGGTGTGTAGGAAGAATAACTGCCACAATGTCTGAGACAGGCCAGTAAGCCAGGGCAAGTGGAACAGGGAAACTGAGGCAGAGAGCTGAACAAACTGGCCGAGGAATTTACAGCCAGACACAGCAGGTCGCCTCCCTGGAGATGACATCTAGGCCGCAGTTGTATTTCAGCTCCAGACTCAGAAAAGCGAGGGGATGCTTGAAACCTAATGTGAACCCTCTTATCTCTCACCGGCTGCAGCCAAATCTGAGTTCAAAAGTAGACAATACCTTCACACGCCAGTTGGTCACATTCACTGGAGGAAGACCTTGAGACTGCTAGAAACATCTACGCCAGGGCTATCCATAAAAGGTGTGTAGGAAGAATAACTGCCACAATGTCTGAGACAGGCCAGTAAGCCAGGGCAAGTGGAACAGGGAAACTGAGGCAGAGAGCTGAACAAACTGGCCGAGGAATTTACAGCCAGACACAGCAGGTCGCCTCCCTGGAGATGACATCTAGGCCGCAGTTGTATTTCAGCTCCAGACTCAGAAAAGCGGCACAACCAGGTGGGTGATGCCAGGGCCTGCTGCAGTGACTGACCCCTGCCCTACCAGTAAAGACCGTGACCCTGGAAGAGCACTCCTGAAAACTGATGAATTTTCTGCGGAAACCACGCCCTGAGACCTCCCCTAAGATTCCTGCCTGCAAAGGAGAGATAAAAACCCTCAAGACAAAGGACCCAGCACTGTGCTCTCCTTCTGGGAGCATGTCCATGCCTTCCCCTTCCTCTTCTTCCCCCACAAGCACGCATCTCCTAAACCCTAAGGAACCACGTGAGGCTTGCAACCTGGGTGGGGGCGGGGGGTGCTAATGGGCAGTGGCAGCTCTCACCTGGGCTAGCCTAACCCTCTGAACCTGTCTCCAAGGCCCCCCCAGTAAAGACCGTGACCCTGGAAGAGCACTCCTGAAAACTGATGAATTTTCTGCAGAAACCACGCCCTGAGACCTCCCCTAAGATTCCTGCCTGCAAAGGAGAGATAAAAACCCTCAAGACAAAGGACCCAGCACTGCGCTCTCCTTCTGGGAGCATGTCCACGCCTTCCTCTTCCTCTTCTTCCCCTACAAGCACGCATCTCCTAAACCCTAAGGAACCACATGAGGCTTGCAACCTAGGGGGAGTGGGGGTGCTAATGGGCAGTGGCAGCTCTCACCTGGGCTAGCCTAACCCTCTGAACCTGTCTCCAAGGCCCCCTTTCCTCTGACTTCCCAGTGAGCCAAAGCAGCCCAGCGGAGGCTCTCCATTTGCTGCTTCTATGCTGAGCCCTTACTTCACTGTCCCCAGCTTTTTTTGTTGTTGTTGTTTTTTGTCCCCAGCTTTGATAAACGTACCCTCATAGTCACCTGGACTTGTGCTGTGAAATCTTTCCTGCACAAAGTCAGAAACCCACACACTACCGGCCAGCCCTAGGCAGACCCCCTCAGGGCCAGGTCCCTGTCTGATAACATTTCTATATTTTCCTTTTTAAAAAGCTCCTGCAATGTACACAGTTTTTTTTTCCAGTCCCCAGGGCTAAACATTTTAGTTCAGGTGGTTGTATGCAAAGGTTCAGGAAAGTGGAAACGGATTGTTGGTCAGTTCGATTTCCAGAGGTCAACTCCACCACGTAAATTCAATAAACAGAAGCCCAGGCTAGAGGGAGTCAAATCCTGGGTGCTTTGTGGTCTAGTAGAGGAAGCCTTCTAGGAATGAATCAACCTAGGGATCGAGTAGCCTCAGGGAGACAGAGCGAAACAAGTCAAATGAAAAACCCTAACTGGGAGCACTGGGGCGGGCTGAGAAGCGAGCCCTTAGAAACTCCTAACTGGGAGCACTGGGGCGGGCTGAGAAGCGAGCCGAGAAGCGAGCCTTCAGAAACCGGAGGGGACGTGCAGCCTGAGGAAAGCACACCAAAGCTTGCAGGGATCCAGCTTGCGAGAACTGTCCAGGAGAGGGCCACCTTCTTTGAAAAACGGGCGCAATGCACAATTGTAGCTTGATGATACCATATCATCAAGCCATCCATGTTATGTTTGTAATTTGCCTTACCATAAGGATGTCTCTACAGCAGTGATTCCCAAAACGTGGTCAGGACCTCCCAGCGGTGGCAACATTACCTGGGAACTTGTCAGAAATTCCAGTTCTCACCCTCACCTCCACCAAGTCAGAAGTTCAGGGGGTGGATGTCCCCAGCAATTTGCATTTTCACAAGAACCCCAGGAGATTCTGATGCACCATGAAGTCTGAGAGTCACTGGTCTGTAGGGAGGTGATGGTGCTGGCCAGCTGATACGAGTATTGCAGCTTGGAAATGGACAGTCCAGTCTACTCGGCAGTCTCCGGCAATTGTGGCTGGCACGCGCCACATACAAATCTGCACTGTGAAGCCCCAACAGGGGTTGGAGAATGAGTATTTCTCAAACTTATGTGATGATGAACTTTCTTTTTCACGGGGCATCTCCCGGAACAGGTGTTCTGAGAGCCTATTTCCGGAGGAGTCTCTGGGCCTTGAGGTCTCCACCTTGTTCCTTGTGCTTTGAAATCGTGTGCACCAAGCAATCCTCTGATTATTTTAGCTTCCCAAGAGGATTTTCCCGCTACGATGAGGGCTCTTTGAAAACTTCTCATTTTGACAAACTGACCTTCTAGTATTTACAATTAGCCTTGCAAATTTGCTCACAGAACTGAGTTGCTCTTCAGAGGTTTAGTTTTGCTTTTTTCCCCCCAGAATATCTCTCTTCCTCCATGAGATGGGTAAATCAAGACTTGTAATCCCCATTTAACAGATGGAGAAAATGGGACCCCCAGGGGTGAAGTACTAGCAACACAGCCAGGAATAAAGGAAAGAGACTAACAGGTGTCAGATCCTCTCTTGGGAACATAATCCAGTCTTAGATTATGACTGACTATCTTCAGGAACTAAACTAGCTACCATCTATCTGGCTTGATGCTATATTTACACCCAGCAAGCTTTCTTCCTTTGGTGGGTGAAGTTTGTAAATTTAATTTTACTAAAATGGAAACCATGTGCCTCTGTCTGTGGAGGCAGTGTGCAAAGCACTGTGGGATTTACACACAGCAGCTGCTGCTCAGAAGCTGGGTCAGAGGACAAAGCCCTTAGGACAGGGGTGGGCAACCCCTGGCACGTGTGTCAAATATGGCACACCAGTAACTTTTGCTGGCACGCGAAACCCTCTCTTACAATCTTCCATTTACAATTTTTGTGAACATTTGAATGACTTAAATGTTAAATTACAAGGAACTGGCAAGACACTTGATGTTATGTTTGGTTACATAAAGGCTTTTGAAAAGAAACTGGAAGTCTTTAAGAGGGATGTGGATGGTGAGAGATTTAGATATTTCCCAAACCTCAAGAGGCACATCAAAGACCTCCCAAAAGATGACAGAACAGACTGTCAAAGCCTTCAAAAGCTGTTTTTAAACATCATCGAGTCAACTATTGAGCAGTTCTTCT